AGAGTGGATGAGTGTGCCGTGACTTAATACAATTTGCAGATCTGCTTGCCTCATTGATTATTGTGATCTGAACTTAGTGTTCTTGACACATGAATAATGCCCAACTTTCTTCATTATCTCAATATCTCTCAACCTCAACAACTTAGAACTACAGTTGGAAAGGACCTTGGAGGTCTTCTAATCCATCCCCTATACCTATATGGCACGCGGAGCCATATTTGGTGGCACACCAGCCGTCAGCTCAGCTGATTTTACACCCTTCCGGAGGGCCATGGGAGGTGCACACACACAATTTTGGCACGCTGTAAGAAAAAGGTTCCCCATCACTGCCCTATACATTTCTGGATGTACTTGAAAGATGTGTGGACTTCAATTCCCAGCTGATTGGGGAATTCTGGGAGTTGAATTCCACACATTTTCGCTGTTGGCCAGTTGAGGAAACTTTGGTACCCTTGGGCCAAAGATGCTTTTTCAGAAAGCAGCCAGATTTTCTTGTTTTTTTTTACTCCCTTGAAAACATTTTACTTTTCATCCCATGGGATGCAGAAGCAAAATGTTTTCAAGACAAAAAAAAAACCTCCAAAAAAGTCAAGTTATCTTTTGGAAAGCACCTTTGGCACAAGAATGACCTGGATAATTGAGACTCTATATAGACTAGGGGTCCTCAAACTTGACAACTTTAAGATTTGTGGACTTTTAACTTCCAAAACTCTCCAGTCTGCTATGCGGGCTGGAGAATTGTGGGAGTTGAAGTCCACAAGTCTTAAAGTTGCTAAGTTTGAAGACCTCTGGTATCAGTGGTGGGATTCAAATAATTTAACAACTGGTTCTCTTCCCTAATGATTTCTTCCAACAACCAGTTCATCTAACTGCTCAGAAAGTTAATAACTGGTTCTCCTGAAGTGGTGCGAATTGGCTGAATCCTATCACTGTCTCGTATAGACATTCGTTACGCTTTTGTGACTACGATATTGTTTGGCTGGCATTGTGAGTGATCCATTTCTCTGAGATACACTGTAATTTGTAAAGAGCGCACACACAAACAACACACAAAACAAGGAACACATTATGCAAGGGAAAAAGCTGATGTCACCTTGATGATTAATCACAAAATGTTTTTCAAGCGTATGATTTACAATATGTGAAGTGAAGGTTGAAAGGTTATCCAGGGATATTAACATTACAGTAGTACTTTTTAGTATGTTTTTTTTTACAGCTTGGAAGGTACCAGGTGTGTTGTTTTTAATTTCTCGTGGAAATTATACATTTGTCTTGCCCTTTGTGTTACACATTTCCTTTCTCCTATTTTGCTTTCCACAGCAAACCAGTGGACCTTTTCAATTTGAGTATTCACATGCATCCAAGGAAGGAACAAAAGGCCACAAAGTGTAATGGATAGGTAAACCATACTTTATTTAACCATGGTTAATGGAATAAACCACACTTGCGTGGATTTCAAGCCAACCAAAAGCCAAACACACCTCTCTAGAATGTTGTATAAACCAGGCCTAGGTTACTTTATTCCCCATTTATCTTTCAATCCAATTAGCAATTGATTTTAATTGATGTGTGCATTTCAAGGCTGCACAGAAGGAATTTACAACCAGAAACTGTTTTTTTTTTGGGTTGCATTAGAGTCTGCTCGATTTCCTTTAATATGCAGATGTTACTGATTCCTCCAGCTGCACATCTTTATAAGAAATCAGTTGAATAATCATATTAGGTAAAATTGATTAAAGCTTATTTGCTCTGCATTAATTCTACACAGCAGTTTGTTTTGTTTTTTTTAAAAAGCATTGCTGTTTTGTATCAGGAAAGGCATTCCTCGTTCTCCGAAGTCTCTCTTTTGGATGCAAAATTCTAACAGAATTCTTTTGTTAGGATTTCGTAAGAATTTTTTGGGGTAAGAATTTAGTTGCTGGTCAATTCCTAGGTCACTTCACGGGTTAATTTTTAAATATAGCAGCCAATTTATAGGACTTGTTTGGAGGTCTAATAAAGGATTGTGCCATTCAGCCACAAAATCTGCTCTCAAGTTATGTTGTAACTGCTACGTCAGGATGAAAAAATATCTGTTTATCAAGATATCTTGCTGTGAATATTGCTGATAAGCTTGTTAGATTTTCGCTTATAGCTGTTTTCTTCCCCCAAAGCTCCAGGCAAGATTTACTGGCTTCTGGATTGAAATCTCTCGATTTAAGGTGGGATGGAGGCAGTGAGGGAATAAAAGGGAAATATTGACAGGAAAAAGTACCCTGTTTACCTGAAAATAAAACCTCCCCGGATAATAAGGCCAAGCGGGCTTTTGAGCGCATACCCTAAAATAAACCCTCCCCCAAAATATTGCAACACAGCAGCAGTCATGAAGTGACCATGCTTGCTGCCTCCTGCACCTTAAAAATAAGACCTCCCCAAAAATAAGGCCAATCACTTATTTTGGGGAGTCAAAAGAAAATAAGACCCTGTCTTATTTTCGGGAAACACGGTAGCTTCCCTGTGACTTGAGATTTGGACAAAGTATGAATAGTCCTGCATGCAAACGGGTCCATGTATTGCTATGGACAGGTTCAGCAGGCTGTATTCCCACGTGTCAACCGGGTTGAATTTTAATCACCTTGGTTCCCATCTTCAGGGAACCCCCACGGAGTAGATTCAGGACTCAAAGCGTCAGGCCAGATAGGAAAGCAACAGTCCCCGGCCTGGAAACCCCCGGCAAACCAGCTGGCACCGAGTTCACACGACACGTGAAACCTCGCTGGCTGCAAAGGCGTCGGTCGGGCTGACTCGGCATCCCCGTCCCTCCCGTCGCCGTCCCCCCCCCCCCAGGTGCCAAACCGGTCTCGGAGCCTCCGCATTCCGGCGGAGCGGGTTGTGCGGCCCGGCTCTGCCCAGCCGGCGTGCCCGGACTCGTGCCCTTTGCCAAAGGAGCCGCCGTGGATCCCCGGAGGCTCCGTTCCCAGGCGCCCGGCCGGCCTCCTGCTCTTCGACCGGGCTCGGGAGGGGAAGGGGAGGGGAAGCCCGCAGACCCGGGGGCCGCCTCTCCCCACCCTCCGCTCCCCCTCCTCTCTATTTTTATTTCGCTATTTTTTGCTGCTGCGAAGAGCCGCCTCCGCCCTGCGCCTCCTCCCCGCCTATGCGCCTCCAACTCCCCCCACTGACAGCTCCAAAAGCCCCGCTTCCCTCCCCTCGGGCCGCTCCAGCAGAAGCCGGGAAGCCCCAGCCCAGCCCAGCCCGGTGCAGCTGCACCCCGATCCTTTTGCAAAGCTCTCCCCACCCGTCCCCGAGCTCCTTTGGCCGAGGCAGAGGCGGCCAAGGACGCCCCCGCAGCGCGAGCTCTCCCGGCCGTTGGAGAAGGAAAGGGGCGGCCAGGCAGGCACCGGCCGCGCGGCGCTGCTCCTTCCGCAGCAGGAGGAGGCGGCGGCGGCTCTGCGTCCAGGCCAGCCTGCAAGCCGGGGGAGGAGGAGGAGGCGCCGAGGAAGCCGCTGCTTCTGCCGCTTCTGCCCTCCCTCCTTCCTCCCTTGCCCAACCCAGCCTCGCCAAGCGCGGGGAAGCCGCCGACCGCTGCAGGCTCGCGCGGCGCTTTGTTCCCGCAGCCGCCACGCGTGGATCTTCTTCTGCCGCAGCAACAGCAGCATCAGCGGGGGGCAGAAGCGGACCGCGCTCCTCCCCTTGTCGGAGAGAGTCCGAGGCTGAGCGCTAGTGGGAATCCGCCTCCTCCTCCTCCTCGCTTTGGGCAGCCAGGAAGGAAGGAAGGAAGGAAGGAAGGAAGGAAGGAAGGAAAAGGAAAGAAGGTTAGAAGGAAGGGAGGAAAGGAAGGAAGAAAGGAAGAAAAAAGAAGGGAATAAGGAAGGAAGGGAGAAAAAGGAGGAAAGAAAGAAGAAAGGAAAGAAGGAAGGAAAAAAGGAAGGAAGGAGGGAGGGAGGGCGGCGGAGAGAGCAGCCCCAGCCGGGCCCTGCCCTGCTCTAGCGCCGCTCCCCCCGGTGTCGTTCCCGCCCCGCGGATGGCAGCAGCAGCAGCGCGGCGCCCGCCGAGTGGCAGCCGGGGACGCGGCGGCCGGTGAGGCTCCCTCGGGGCGGCCTCCGCAGCCGAGCCTGGGAAAAGGGGCGGAGGCGGAGGAGGCGGAGGCGGAGGGGAGCGCCGAAGGGGCGGCGCGGGGGAAGCCTTGCCCGCCTTCCCTGCCTGCCTCCCTCCATTCATCGCGGCTCCGGATTTTGCCTCTCGCCCGCCGAAGAAAACGCCAAGGAGGGCAGGAGCAGCAGCAGCAGCAGCGGCGCAATTGCGCGATCGCCCTTCGCAGGCAGACTCGTCCGCTTGGGGTTCCCGGTCCCCCAAAGACTCCGGGCGGCTCTTCTCTCTTTTTGGCGGGGGGGGGAAGCGGCGTTTCCGCTCCCGGGATCAAGCAAAGGCGGCGGCGGCGGAGGAGGAGGACTGCGTGGCTTTGCCTTCCTTTGGTCCAAGCAGGGCCGAGTCCGTTCCTGGGATTTCTCGGCCGGCCGAGCGGGAAGGAAGCAAGGAAAGCAGGCAGGCGCAGGACCCGGTGCGCCCCCCTCTCCGCCCGCTCTCCCCCTCCCCAGCCAGCCCAGCCTCGGGGCCCCCTTTTTCTTTAGCCCCAGCGGGGCCGGGAAGCCAAGCCAACATGGAGGTGGAAGATGCGGATTGCTCGCTGCGGCGCCTTCCGTGCGGGCTCCTTTTGGAGGAAGAGAGCAGGCGAGGCTGAGCTGCTTCCCCCGGCCTCTCGTCGTCGTAGCTGGAGGAGGAAGAAGAGGAAGAGGCGGCGGCTGCGGCTCCGGAGCCTCCTCGGAGAGCCCCCCAAACCAGGCCCGGACCTTCCCCCCTTTCCCCCACGCTCTCCGTTCTCCCCCTCCCCTCCAAGGTGGGCCCAGAATTTCTGCCCCTCTCCAAAAAACGCAGCCGCCTCTCCGGAGCGCCCTAGGACGCTCCCCTCCCTCTCTCCCCTTTTACAAGCCCCCCCCCTTCCTCCCTTGGCGGGTGGGCTTGTTTTTTTTGGCAAGGGGAGGGGTTTAAAACCTGCCCCCCCTTTCCAGGATTCGGATTTTTGGCTTGTCCCGGGAAAGGGGCGAAGAGCGAGAAGAGGACTCGGATTGCGAGGATTATTATTTTTATAAATATTATTTTTATTATTGTTTTTGCCAAGGCCGTTTTGATCCCCACTACGACCCGCCAAACAGAGGAATGACGCCTGGCGTCGGAGGGGGGTCCCTGGCCTTGGTGAGGAGGGGGCTCCTGCTGCTCTGCATCGCGCTCTGCCTGCGGCCAACAAATGGAAAAAGTGAGTCTTGGCGGGGCGGGGGGCTTTGTGGGGAGGGGAGAGGGGGCCCGTCTGGGCTTTTGAGTTGGGGAAATGGGGGGAGGCAATGCGAGGGGCGCGGAGATGGGGAGCCAGGTGGGGGTCTCCCTTGTTGGAAGCGGGCTCCACAAACGCGCGTGGACGCCCCCCTTGGCCCCTTCCCCCCTCGGCCGGGAAGAGCGGGCTTGGCTTGCCCCCTTTTAGGCTTTGCATTCCCGGCCTTGTTTTGGGGTGGGGGGCTCCTTTCCCACGACTCCCCCCCCCGGAAAGCTCTTCTTCCCAGCCTGGCTCGACTGGCCACAGGCGGAGAGGAGCGGGGAGGGTCTCTGGGTATGTGTGTTTGGGGGTGGTGGTTCATGGCCCCGCCGCCCCCTTCCAGCAGCCCTCAGAGGCCTCCGGGCGACCCAACCGGCCTCCCGCGCAAGGCAACCGGCTCGGCTTTCCCCGGGGGCGGCTTGGAGACGCCCGGCGAGCCCGGCCGTTGCGTAAACAAGCCGAGCGCGCCGGCACCTGGAGCGCTGCACCCGGCGGCGCTGGCGGGGCGACCCTTGGAGACCCCAACAGCCGGCAGCCAAGCCGGGCCGGGCTTTCGCAACCACCACCCTCCACTCCCCCCCGCCAGCCCCGCTTTACTTTATTTTATTTAGGGGGGGGTCTCTTTTGTGTCGGAAAGGGCGCAAAGGCAGGCGAGGCAAAACACTTGGGTGCTTCCAACCAGCCCAGTCGGAAAAAGCCTCTTTTTCGGACAAAGATTAGTTTTTGGGGGGTGGGTGGGGGTGGAACGACTGTTGAACCTCAAGGGGACCCTGGATGCTTTGGGTGGGAGGAATTGTATCCCCCCCCCTTTGCTTTCCTCTGTGCAACGAATCAAGCGCGGGAGAAAGGAAGAGTGTTTTTTTAATATATATAACTCGTTTGTTTATACGCAGAGGTAGAAGTTGCAATTAAAAGGTTACTCAGTGAATACTCATCGTTCAAGCTCTCCGGGGCTGGTGAGGGTTAGGAAAGGCGGTGGATGCCTCTTTGTCCTCCTCTCTCTCTCCCCCACCCCCTTGAAATGTTTTGATTTTTTTTTTTTTTTTGAAAGACAAAAGAGGGAGAGAGAATTGGGCAGGGCCCTGTTTGGTGCAATTCCTGAAGCTCTCTACCCTTAGACAGCTGGTAGCTTCATGCTTGAGCAGAAGGTGTGGGNATGTTACTAGTTTAACAACTGCAGTGCTTCGCTTAACATCTCTGGTAAGGAAGGTTGCAAATGGGGCAAAGCTCACTTAACAAATGTCTCACTTAGCAACAGTAATTTTGGCCTGAATTGTCATAATTCGAGACTACCTCTATTGATGGACTTCTGCTTTCTGAACCATTTTCTTCATTACCCCAAATCACTTCTCAAAAAGTATTGTCAAATTTTGAGGATTGGTAGTAAGTCCCTTCCTTCACCATTGTGGTAAATTCAGATGGTTGCTGAAAAATTGGTTGTAATCCGAGGACTTATCTGCATTATAAAAACAACAAATCGTTGAATGATCTTTGTCATTTTAACAGGTTACTTATTCTTGGTGATTTCATCATTTTTTCTTCATAGGAAGACTTTGGGGAGATTTTTAATATATTTCAGTCTACCTGGCAATCATTAAATCTGTTTAAATATCTATGTTGTGATAGGTAAAGAATTTGCGTGTAGATAGCCTAATAAAAGCCAGTTTGGGGTAATTTATCCAGGTTTGAAAAGCACTGTTTTATATTCTAATGCTCCAGTTGCCACATTTCAGTCACCTCTGGAGCAACAGATAAGAGAGAAATATTGCCAGAATGCAGAAATGATTATCGTTTCTACTCAAATACGGTTCAGGAAGCCCAAATATTTCCCTTCAAGGGCAATTTAGAAAGATATAGGCAATGAAGCATATGTTTAAAAATCTCGGTAAAGAATAAATACCTCTTTAAAAAAACTCAGCCAGGAAAAAGCAGCAAGGAACTGCGTCTCAAACAGGTTTTTGTTGATTTATTAGCTTGCTTAGGAAAGTGAACAATTAAAAAGAATTTCCACCTAGTCATTTAATAAACAAATGCTGGTATCGGGACTTTCATTTTATTTATTACAATTTTATCTCACTTTACAAAATAATAGCCCTCTCCAAAGATCCTATAGTTTACGCAAGTGTAAATAAACACGCAGTAAATGGGTTAAAATAAATGTCTACAGTCCTTTCTAGAGTAGTTTGATGACCAGAGTTTTTGTGGGAAGGAAAGTCCAGCTGAGCAGGTTGCGAATTAATGCATTCCAGACGTAGTTCTTGTGCCTCTGAAAAGTTTATTTACAGTTAGTCCTTGACTTGTGAGCACAATTGAGCCCCCATTTATGTTGCTGAGTGAGAAATTTGTTAAGTGAGTTTTGCCCCATTTTTCTTGCCACAGTTGTTAAGTGAGTCACTGCAGTTGTTAAATTAGTAGCACGGTTGTTAAGTGAACTTGGTTTCCCCATTGACTTTGGTCCTCAGTAGGTTCCAAATTATATGACACTGGGACACTGCATCCGTCATAATTATGAACCGGTTGCCAAGCATCTGAATTTCGATCACGTGACCATGAGGATGCTGCAATGGTCATAAGTGTGAAAAATGGTCCTAATTCACTTTTTTCAATGACGTAACTTGGAATGGTCACTAAATGAATTGAAGGTTGAGGATTACCTGTATTCATTTATTAAATATATATGCTTGCCCATCTCTGATAGACAATAGACAAACCATAATATCCCAAAATGCTTTCTTTATATTAATATTGTGTAGGAATTGATGTTCCAGCTTTAAAAAATAAAATCAGCATCCAGCTTCACTAATGTTAAAGAAGGCTGGTGTGTGTGTGTATTTGTGTGTGTGTATTTGTATATTTACATGTAGTCTTTGATTTCTGATTGCAATGGAGCCTGCTCAGTGTGTAAGTCGTACGTCGTGACAATTGTTAAAACTGGTCTACCCCCACAATTGACCTAATTTTACAACTGTTTTTACATCGGTCATTAAATGAACCAGTGGCTTGTCAGGAACCAGTTTTGCCAAAAACCAGAAGTTAATGCCAGTTTTCAGCAAAAAATCTCATCAAACGTGGTCGCATGATTGCGGGATCTGCAAATGTCTCTAAATGCAGCCCTCTAAATGCAAACCTGTGCCACTGGGGCGGTCGGCCCTCTTCTAAATTTTGGAACAGGGTTATATGTACTCCTCCCCCCCTTCTTGGGAGGTCCATCATAACTTTGAATGATGGTTAAGCATCTGAAGGCAGGACAAGAAAGACCAGGGTGACATGACAGCAGTGCTCCAACATTTGAGGGGTTACCACAGAGAAGAGGGGGTCACCTTATTCTCCAAAGCATCTGAAGGCAGGACAAGAAGCAATGGATGAAAACTAATTAAGGAGCAAAGCAATCTAGAACTAAGGCGAAACTTCCTGATACTAAGAACAATTAATCAGTGAAACAGAAGTTGTGGGTGCTCCATCACTGGAGAGTGGACAGCCATTATTTTCCAAAGCACTAGAAGGTAGGACAAGAACCAGTGCATGGAAATTAATCAAGGAGAGAAGCAACTTAGAACTAAGGAGATACTTCCTAATAGCAATGACAATTAATCCGTGGGACATCTTGTCTCCAGAAGTTGTGGATGCTCCATCACTGGAGGCTTTTAAGAAGAGACTGGACAACCATTTATCTGGAAACGGAGTAGGGTTTCCTGCTTGAGCAGGGGGAGTAGAAGACCCCCAAGGTCCCTTCCACCTCTGTTGTCCTGTTGCTCTGTTAAATTGACCCCCTTCTGCGTGGCAGCCCCTCAAATATTGGAACCTTTCTACCACGTCTCTCCTAATCCCTCAGAATCCATTCTCTACAAGAAGCAATGGTGGAAGCCTTGGATGTTTTGTTCGAGTCTTGGGGTGGAGATGTTGGGGACCACGTGGTCTGAATAGCTGAAATTCCTGACCCTCTTAAGATAAAGAGCTCCGGCGTTTGTGCAAGCCCCCTTTTTTGCAAGGCGTCGTAAACATTTCTTTCCCACTTCCTGAGGGGCTCCTGGCGAGATTTATGGGGCGGGTGATGGGTCTTGGAGCAGATGGTTTGTTTCCATTTCCCTTTGGTATGTAAAGACCGCTTCTTTGAAGAAAGAATACTTGTTGTGATGTTGTGAGGCCACAAAGGGGGGTCTGCCTTGGCCATTCAGCTCTTTGAGGGGCAGTTGGCAGGGTGTGTGTCTGTGTGTGTGTGTGTGTCTGTGTGTGTGTTTGTATCCGGCATTATTTATCTTGGGTTGACACAGCAAACAAAATCCACCGTGTCCGTAGGGTTTGGGTCGGGCTCAATGCAACCAAATGGAGATTTGTATGATTGCGTTTGCATTTTGTGTATATGCGTGTGGGGTTGCATGCCTGTGTGTATTAATGGCATTTTTGAATGGGGTGAAAAGTGTAAGTAACAAAACAAGTATGCAAAGATAGAAAGTAAGAAAAAGAACGGAAATGAATCACACGGTTTGTGTGATTGTATTTGTATTTTTGTAATGTGTGTGTGTGAGAGAGAATGGAATTTTTCAATATGGTAAAATGTATACAAAAGAATATAGAACAAACAAGAAACAAAAAAATAGGCAAAGGTAGACAATAAGAAAAAGGGAGTAAATGAAAACACACATATAAAAATATCTCTTCCATCCTTCTTTCAATTTATTGAGTAATTGTTATCTTAATCATTTCCCCAATTTTTTAATCCCCAAATCTGGAATCTGTCCATTTGATCTTTTCTTCTTTCAACAAAAGGTCCATATAAGGTTTCTTGTCCGTCAGAAAAGTCTGTCATTTCTTTCCTCTGAGAAAACTGGTCTATTTCGCCATTTTTGTAGGTTCAATTTGTTTTATAATCCAGTCCTCCATCATTGATACAATATTTTTTCTTCTTCTACAACTTTTTGTATACCATACTTTTGCTGCAGTTAATC